GCAGGGTGGCCCCTGGCTGAGCGGGACGTGGGAACGGGAGGTCGAGTTGGGCGAGGAGAGGGCCGGCCCCAGATCACCCCTTGGCCGCTCCAGCGGGGGAGGGGGCTTCCGCAGCGCTGCTGACCCCCGCTGGCACGATTCTCCCAGGATCTCACCAAGGAAGGGGGCTTGCAAGGAGCGCGTTCTTCAGTGGAAAAACGGCCAAGGGCAAACGCAAACACTCGCCCGGGATGGGTGGCCTTCTCTGCTTTGCTGCCGACCTTTCCACCCCAGCCCCCCAAAATCTCTTCCTCTCTCTGAGCAGCTTCCCCAGCTGGGCGCTTTGGGGGCTGTTCCACTACCCCAGTGTTTTTCGACCTCAGCAACTTTCAGATGAGTGGACTTCAACTTCCAGAATTCCCCAGCCAGCATGCTGAAGTCTACCCAGCTGAAAGTTGCGAGCTGGCTGGGGAATTCTGGGAGTTGAAGTCCACCCATCTGAAACTTGCTGAGGTTGAGAAACGCCGATCTAGATCATGCCCCAATGGAAGGCGTTCTTCAGTAGACCATGGGGACGAGGCAGCTTTGCCCTGAGAATTCTCTCCAATTTGTACAAAGGTTCTTCTATCATCCTTCCTATTGTGGGACTGAATAAATAGTATCCCAATGAATAAAAATACTGTGGGAGTATGGCCTGAGGAGGTGGGCAGAGCTTGGAGAGGTTCTAAAAGTCTCCCCTGAAAAGCTTGGAGGTTCATGTTTAGCCCCCAGGCTAATAGCTCCCCGCCTTTGTTCTCCAGATCTGGGGTACCAGGGAGCAACGACTGGGGAGAAGGACCACCTGGTCCTTTGTAGGCTCAGGACTCAAAAGATGACCCCCATTCCTGGCAGGGGAGCTGCTCTGATGCTTCTGGCATTTTTACGTGCAGGTGACTTCCATGGTGATGGTGGCTGTGGGAATCTATGCCCGACTGATAAAGCATGGAGGTAAGGCATTGTGGAGGGGTGCCAACAAGAGTCCCATAGCGGGTGCCCCATTTCCCAAGTAGCTAAATGAACGTCAGGAGGCACTTCTGGAATGGAACGGGCTTTGCCTCCTCCACAGACCTCAGTGGGCCAGTTGGAGCTGGAAGAGGTAGCTGAAAGCTTCATTGGTGTGAAATGGCGAATCGGTGGCTGTGCCCAAAGTGGAGATGCTTCTTGGGGGATGACATGGTGGCTCTGGTTCCAAATCTACACTTTTCAGACCAGTAGCTGCTTTGTAGGTTTTTACTTCCCCCTCCTTGTTCTTGTTCCTGCTTTGAATGTTTCATTTTCACGAAGCGATGATT